CTAAATGTTATTCCTTATAATAGGCTGCTTCCATATCTAAGGCAGGAAAAGTGTTAGAACATCTTTTGGCAGAAATAAAGAAAAAGGTCAGAACCAAGAAGACATGTCTGAAACCCACAGAAGCAATTTCAAAGGGCTCCATTAGCCAAATCTGGGTCAATGCAAGAAGAATAATGAGGATACTGAATTACAACAAGTTATAAAAATCTATGAGGCCATAATGACAATTAAAACTGATAGATAAGAATCTCTTCATTACAGAAGAATGCTAGTTGATATATCTAATTAGAAAATCAGTATAATCATCAACATAATTGTAGACAAATTCCATCAGTAGATGCTTAAACTAACAGTTTTTGTTTGCTTCACTACTTCGAATTATTCAACTCTACTCTCTCCTGGCCTGTTGGGTTTCTGCTGAGAAATCTGCTGAAGGCTGTACTGAAGCTCCTTGGAATATGATATGTTTCTTACTAGTTGCTGCTTTCAGTATTCTTTGTCTTTGATTTTTGGTAATTTGATTACATTGTGTCTTGGTGAAGGCCTTTTCTGGTTGAATTTGATTGGCAGCCTTGAAGCTTCCAGCACCTGGATGTTGCTGTGTTTCCCCAGATTTGGGAAATTTTCAACCATTCTTTCCTTATATATGGTTTTGGGTCCTAACAGTATATGTACATTGTTTCAAAGCATCAAGACACGGATTACTCCCTAATTACAAAGGGTAAAGGACACATTCACAATGGAGACATCTGGTGTCATCATCTCAAATTTAGCATTGAAAAGATCCATGAAAATGTCATTCCATGTTCTTGCAATTGACTGGATGCAATGGGAAATAGATGTCATCTGTGGTGTACAGTTACCAAGTAATTAACCTCTAATAATATGGAAATTTTTACTGTGAGCTGTTTACAAGTAAGCTGGCCAGGGCACTTCAAAAAATTATGGCCATGAAAAAGAGAAAATATAATAAGTGGGTGGAGGACATGTATCATTTAAAAGCAACTAAGAGATCTAACAATCTCCTGAACTACAGGATCTTTGATATTGTCCTACAGGAAAAAGTGAATCAAAACCAAAGGACATGTTGTGACAACTGGAGAAATTTGAATGTAAAGTATCTGCTAGATAATGATGCTATATGAATGCTAATTTTTTGAGTGTAATAGTGACATTTGTGTATGGTAATGCCAATTATTTAGAAGAGACATATTGAATTGCTAAGGATAAAATGTTTCAGAAATTAAGGGTTAGATACACAAAGAGATATAAAGGTCACAAAATGTTAACAACCGGTACACAGATGAACATTTTAAGATTCCGTTTGTTTTTATTGTTCTCTAAACTTTTCCATAGGTGTTTAGTTTTTAAATAGGCTTTGAATAAAAAATATTAAAAGACAAAAATAAAACGCTGGCATTATTTCAGTGTAATGTTGGGTGTCTCATATTTATTTTCAATATATATGAAATATTCTGTCATTATCACAAAATAAATATAAAAGATAAGGTCTCTTTTAGCCCTATAGAATACTTTATTTTCACTGGAGCCAGGCTATAATTTTTAAGAAAATATCAAAATAAGATAAGATAATTTATAGATTGAGGACAAAACAGCTTGATATCTCTAAGACTGGCACAAAACCTGGTTAGCAGTGCATGCCAGGAGGCCATATAACAAACGTTTTCTCTGTGTCAATGGATTCTGAGCATTCTACAGTCTGGCCAAAAACTCAAAAACTTTCAAAGGTTAAGACATTGATCACCACCTGTGGAGGTCTGTCCTACAGACCCTCAATGACAGATGAATGAATGCACTCTCACACCCACTACAGTGATTTTGAGTGGGCTAGGAATGGTCACCAATTGCTTTCAAAGGGTGATTGCAGCTAACTGACCACAACTCCCTGTACCTCCTCACATTTATTCAGTATAGTTCTAATAACAGAGGTTCCAAGTCAACATACTTGTGGAAAATTAACATGGTTAAAAGAGTGGTTTTACGAATGATAAAAGCTTTTGGCTCCAGGGCCCAGAGTAAACACCATTAATGGGTACTTCGACCTCCCCCTGAGAGGACCATCCAGCACAAAGTTTACATGAGTAAACAGTTAGAGTAGAAACAAAGGAATGTGGGGTAAACAGACTTAACTGGGGAAGCTTTTATTGTCCCTAAATCTCTTCACTGTAGGACTTAATACTCTAAGAACTGAATGCCTTCAGCTTGTTCCATTAAACCTTTCAGCCTTCCGAAAGGTTTGAGACTATAATCTTCTAACTTTCCCTAATATTTTGCCAGCCATCCCAAGTGAATTCCAACAAAAGATGACTAAATGCAAACGGAAAAGTAGTGATTTTGCCAAATAAGAGCTGGGAAGTATGTATTTGTGTAAGGGGGAGAGGGCAGAAGACCTTAGTCTGTCTTCTGCTGCTGTAACAGAATACCTGAGGCTGGGAAATTTTTAAATAAAAAAGGTTTATTTGGCTTACAGTTTTGGAGGCTGGAAAGCCCAAGAGGGCATCAGCACCTGCTGGGCTTCTTTTGAAGGCTTCGTGCTGTGTCACAGCATGGAAGAGAAATGGAAGAATGAGCAGGGCCATATGAAGAGAGCCATGATGAGCAAGACCCTCACTTTATACCAGTCAGCTTTTATAGTAACTAATCCAGATATCCAAGAGAGAGAACTGACTCCTGGCGTTAATCTTCCAGGAAGAATCCAACACCATGACCCAAACAACTCCCATGGGGCTCAAAATTGCAACACTGCTGCATTGAGGACCAACCCTCAACATGAGTTTTGGTGGGAACAAACCACAGCCAAACTGCAGGTGGGGTTCTGGCAAGATGGTAGGAATAGATGGAGCTGAGAGGGATTTCCCCCAATGCCTCACAAACACTGTCCATTATTAGCCCTGATTCTACTGAGGACAGTATAGACATGTCCCAGTATTTCTGACCCATGAATGGAGGGCCTGAGCCTGTTGACTCTGAACCACTGGCCAGCAGGCAGCACTAGGGATTGCTGGGGTTGGCTTGCTTTTAAATCAGGGCTTAGTGCTATCCAAGGAGTTAAGTTTAAAGGAAGTGTGGCTTCATCTCAGCAACCAGAATCTAGTTTGCAGATGTTGTGAGTGGCCAGTGGAATGTGAGACATTAAATAGAAACTATTCATTCCCCCATCGATACAGGCATCCTCCGTTCAGCAGAGAAACCCCAACTGTAGCAAATCATTGGGTGGAGAATGTCCTGGGTTTGCATCAGGGGTAGACGGAGGAGAATCAGGAGCCAGCCTGCATGCTCAGAGACCCATATAAAGGGAGAACCATTTTCTCCTCAGGAGAACTCAGAGAAACCTTAGCAATGTACCTGTACCCCACACCTAACCCATTCCTGTTGTGCCGAGGACGATGGACAGGATGATGTCAAGGAAATGTAGGAGAGGGGAATGGACAATTTCAGACCTCCCCAGATAGGCTCAGCTCAAATAACCCTGGAAATATTCTGAATAAGAACCAGATTTCCCAGAGCTCTGGCCTTTTCTTCCCTGAGCAGCATGATGCTGCCCCATTCCTGCCTTGACAAGGATTCTGTCATGGATTTCTCAGTTGTGCTGCCCAGGAAGCTGGTGAGGCCCAGAAACAAAGAGGAATGTCTTCCCTGGTCTTGGCATGCCTCACTTGCAAACACATCACATATGTGTCCTGTGACTGATAGGTTTGATAGATGGATAAGTCCTGTTTCTAGCCACCAACCTCTATCCCCTGAATGCTGTTGTCACTCAGAGCCATAACCCTGGTCACAAAGATGGAGCAGGTAGTGGCCCCTTAATGTGAAGAAATTTTCCATCCTGCAATTATTACCTGGTGCTGCATGAGTTGGACTCAAACCAGCAGCTGTTTACCTCAGTGACAGAGGATTTACGACAGAAACAGATGGCTCTGGTAATTCTATACCCACAGGTATTCACCTGATAACCTTGACATGTGTCCCCTAGGTTTTCGGGATTTGGTGGAATATCTCTGAGCTCATCTAGCTGTGCACATATATCCTCGTTCCCACCTCTCTGGACATGTGTGTCCTTATATTAGTGTCTTATGCCAACTCTCAGGGGCTCCATCCCTAATTCTTTCCATCTTTTACCCACTAGGCAATGAATAAAAGTATATTTGTGACTAATACTGCCCCATTAGAAAAGAAATGCCAAATATTAGCCATTGCTGTTGATTTGTAAGTTATACTAAGGCTGTAAGGTTGTTTTTTTTGTTGTTGTTGTTTTTGTTTTTGTTTAGATTTCAACAAATCTGATTGTGGATTTCTTACAGTATCCACAATGATATTTTCAGAGATAAGAGATTCTCCACCCATCTTATATCAGAACTTTCATTACATTGATAACCAAGAACTACAGGCAGAACCATGATAAAGACTTGGTACACAATGCATCATGAGGATTAATAATAAGAAAGAGAAAACTGGTCACTGGCCTTCACAAAAAATGAACCTTTCCAACTTTGTCTCAGGGTATTATTTTACCCCTTTAGCTTAGAGCGTCAGCTAGTTCAATGTGCTTCTAGGATAAACCTGTGTCAACTACCCCAGCTCCCACTCTGTCTAAGATAATAGCAATGAGTAATGGGAAACCTGGTAAGACAGACATGCCCGAAGAGAAAAATACACAGATTAAGACACAGAGGTTACTAATTGCTGTCTGTATTTTGAGTTGCCTTTGACACATTCAAGTAGAAACAACCAGTAGAGGATGGGCCTGGAGATGTAGTGGGTGATCCAATCCCCTAAGCCCTAGGGATGTGAGTACAGACGCTTGGATGAACTTACACACAGTCCATGAATGTGGCTAAACCAAATTCTAGCTCTGTTTTGGTTCATAACAATTGGTCACTAAAACCTTAGGAATTTGTGGAGACAATGAGGTTATTGTAGAAACTACCAAATAAGAACAGGAATGTCCCTCCTCCTCTGCTCCTGTTCACAAGGACCCTGAACTGGCAAAGCTCCCATCCTGCCCTGACCCTGCCATGAGCACCAGCCTCCTCTGCTGGGTGGCCCTCTCCCACCTGGGGGCAGGTGAGTCCTAAGAACACCATGATCATCCCATTGGAAATTTCAGTGATTATTTCAATTATTTCTTTCTGTTCTGTCCTTTTCCTTCACAGAACTCACAGACGCTGGAGTTGTCCAGGCCCCCAGATATAAGATTACAGACAAAAGGCAGGCTGTGGCTTTTTGGTGTGATCCTATTTATGGCCATGATATCCTTTACTGGTACCGGCAGATCCTGGGACAGGGCACTGAGCTTCTGATTCGATTTCAGGATGAAGGGGTAGTAGATGATTCACAGTTGCCTAAAGATCGATTTTCTGCAGAAGCTCAAAGGCGTAGACTCCACCCTCAAGATCCAGCCTGCAGAGCTTGGGGACTCAGCCGTGTATCTCTGTGCCAGCAGCGTAGCCACAGCATCACAGAGACCTTCTCTCCTGTGCACAAAACTCCAGGCTGTCTCCTCTCTGTCAGCTCATGGCAGCCTTTCCTTATTCCTCATCCTTCCAGGGAGGAAGTGAGTTTTCAGACACAGCTAGGATTCATGTAGTGGAAGGAGATGAACTATTTCTTAAAACACGAGTGCTATAATTGTTGTTTGAAAATATGTCTTAGGGATTTGAAACACTTCTGGGTGGGAATTCGAGAAACCAAAACTGAAAGCGACTTATCACAGACTTAGTCCTCAGGGGTAGTGAGCGTGGTTGTTCTATAGAAAATGCATATGATGATGTTTGTCAATTAAGAAAATAAATACATAAACTTGAAAAACAAAAACATAAAATCGCCAAAACGTGTGTGGTAAGCTTTACTAATACAGATATTGATTACATGCAAGTAACAAACAGTAGGCTCTCCTTCTGCTGTTGCAGCATCTGAATGATTTTAATCTTATCCTGGCTCTGGAGCCCCTTCTAGACTTCACACTGGATGTTTCATGCAATCAAATCTCAACAGATACTTTGTGTTTGGAAATCTTTTTCCTCTGTTTTTTGTGGAAATATGGCAATAATAATAATATTGTAATGAGGATGATGTTGATCATTTCAGCTATTTCATTCAGCGCTCTTTAAACTTCAAAGAAGTGCACACAAATACATATCCTGACAGCCATCCCCAAGTCTTAGCCTAAAATGAATTCTGCTTCTTCGGAGGGCTTTAACTTTTCAATGTAACAGACACAGCCCAACACGATAGTTAGGTCTGGGTCAGCTAGTTCAGAGGCTGGTGAGAACACTTCACTTGTCTGCCCTTGTATATTAAAATAGGTCCTTAGTACATTAGATATTCCTGCCAGCACTTTGGAAGCAATTAACTGCCCTGGTCCAGTTGCCTCCTCTGATAATGCGCTGTGTGTGTCCCGCTCTAGTCTCTACCCTAACTTCTGCCCAGACTCTCTTGTACTAGAAATCATTCTGAAGTACTGGTTAAAATGTTTGGAAAGGCAGCTTCCTGGGAATCCTCTGAAGGACTGTTGCTGTCAGTAATTCCCTCTTAACATTTCTTGAGACTTTCTTGTATTTCATTGAACGTAGGACACTCAGTTATTTCAATCTGTCTGATCATGTTCACCGCCGAGATCCTTGTGGGTTGTTTGTGTTGATTTTCTTTTGTGCTGCTTCTCAGTCATTTGTTTGTGTTTTTCCTTATAACCCTGACTTTTTGACATTGTGCCAGACACTATGGTTGTAGAAATAATTTTTGGTCTAGGATGGACGTATCTTTCTACAGAGATAATTTTGTTGTGTTTAATAAAGTGCATGGATGCATAAACAATCCAGGACTCCCTGAAACAGAATTCAAGGCATGAGGTGTCCTGGAGCACCTGGAGAGCAGGTTTCCCTCTAGCTCATTGTTTCTGTTCAAGTTCCTCAACGGTCACAGTCAGTAAACTCTGGTCTTAGCCTTTGCCCCTCTGGCCCGTGAGTCAGCTTCCTGAGATCAGCAAATGCCCCGAAAAGCAGTGACTGCTGGGCTCACTCCTCAGCTCCTGCCCAGTTATTCCTCATAATGTCTTTGGGATATTAATTAGTTGCAGGTTTTGTTAGTGTGGTTATTTACCCCACTATTTAAATAATAACAGAGGAAGGGTTAATTTTGTTACAGGAAGGGGGTCTTGATCCAACTCCCAAGAGAGGGTTCCTGGTTCTCATGCAAGAAAGAATTCAGGGTGATTCCACAGTGCAAAGTGAACGCAAGTTTATTAACAAAGTAAAGTGGTGAAAGAACAGCTACTCCACGGACAAAGCTGGGTGTTCCCGAAAGAGGAGGAGCGCATCTACCCTTGGTACAATGCTTGTTTATATATAGGATAAGAAAAGACCGTGAAGAGTTGTACTCTGCTTCAGGGGTTTGTGATAAAGGATTAATTTTCTTAATTACTATGTTTTGCAAGAATCGGTATTAATATCTTTAAAGGAAAATTAGGAATGGTCCTGTTCTCAGATATTGGGGTATCAGGACATTCCTAAGTCTTGGTCTGTTTAGTGAACATTATTGATACGTTGCTTTAACCATAAACACCTAGAGGCTAGGAATACCTAACTTTCTGGGCATTCAGCCCAGCAAGCCCCAGTGTCATTTTCCCACTTAAGATGGAGTCACTCTGGTTCAAACACCTCTGACAATTTGAGTTTCCTCTTCTGTAATTACTCAGATTAAGGTCAAAAAATTTTATTTGAAGTTTTAATTTTCTTTGAATTTTAATATCAGAGTCTTTGTGTTTGCTTGATATTTAACGTAAATAGTATAGAGAAATGTTATACTGAAACTTAATTTCAAGGAAAAGACTTTTTAAAAACTTGAAGGGGGATTTATAATCAAATTGGGACTCTCATTTGGTTTTGACATTTTATCATTTAGAGTATTTTATGTTGTTTAGTATATAGCCTTCTATGCTTCATTGGAACAGGGTAATGAGAAAAGAGAGTGAATATTTAAACTCGATTAGATCTTTGACAAACCAGACAAAAACAAGCAATAGGAAAATAATTCCCTATTTAATAAATGGTGTTGGGAAAACTGGCTAGCTATATGCACAAAACTGAAACTGGACCCCTTCCTTACACCTTACACAAAAATTAAATCAAGATGGAATAAAGATTTAAACATAAGACCTAAAACCATAAAAAACCTAGAAGAAAACCCAGGCAATATCATTCAAGACATAGGCATGGGCAAAACCTTCATGACTAAAATACAAAAAGCAATGGAAATTAAAGCCAAAATTAACAAATGGAATCTGATTAAACTGAAGAGCTTTTGCACAGCAAAAGAAACTATCACCAGAGTGAACGGGCAACCTACAGAATGGGAGAAAATTTTTGCAATCTGTCCATCTGACAAAGGGCTATTATCCAGAATCCACAAGGAACTTAAACAAATTTACAAGAAAATAACAACCCCATAAAAAGGGGGCAAAGGATATGAACAGACACTTCTCAAAAGAAGACATTTATGCAGACAACAAATGTGAAAAAAAATGCTCATCATCACTGATAGGCAGAGAAATGCAAATCAAAACCACAATGAGATACCATCTCATGCCAGTTAGAGTGGTGATCATTAAAAAGTCAGGAAACAATAGATGCTAGAGAGGATGTGGAGAAATAGGAACACTTTTACACTGTTGGTGGGAGGGTAAGTTAGTTCAACCATTGTGGAAGACAGTGCAGTGATTCCTTAAGGACCTAGAAACAGAAATACCATTTGACCCAGCAATGCCATTACTGGGTATATATCCAAAGGATTATAAATCCTTCTACTATAAAGACACACATACATGTATGTTTATTGCAGCACTATTCACAATAGCAAAGACTTGGAGCCAACTCAAATGTCCATCAGTGATAGACCGGATAAAGAAAATGTGGCACATATACACCATGGAATACTATGCAGCCATAAAAAAGAATGATTTCATGGCCTTTGCGGAGACATGGATGAAGCTGGAAAACATCATTCTCAGCAAACTAACACAGGAACAAAAAACCAAACACCACATGTTCTCACTTATAAGTGGGAGTTGAGCAATGAGAACATATGGGCACAGGGAAGGGAACATCACACATTGGGGCCTGCCAGGAGGGTGGGGGCCTAGGGGAGGGATAGTATTAGGAGAAATAACTAATGTAGATAATGGGTTGATGGGTGCAGCAAACCACATGGCACATGCATACCTATGTAACAAACCTGCACGTTCTGCACATGTATCCCAGAACTTAAGGTATAATAAAAAACAAAGAAATAAACAAATAAACTTGATCAGAGAGCACAGAGTGAACATGGACTCCACGTCATTCCTGCACTGTTGTGGCTCATTTGGGCTGTGTTTTGTGAGCACACCTGAACAGCAAGGGTCAGAACCGGAGGGAGTCACAGATGTGTGGCTCTTGTCTTCTCCTACTGGAACCCAGTCCCCTGGAAAAATGCTTGGCTCCACGTTTTCCATTTGGGGGATCTTACCTAAAGTAATACACTGGTTTTTGTCTTTCTATTATTTGCCAAATCTCTCCTATGGGAAAGAAAATATGTTATCTTATTTAATCTCCTCTTCATCTCTACCACCCTTTCATCCTGGCTACCGAGGAAAAAAAATGGGAGATTCTTTTGGTGCTTTTTCAACACGCACTAAGATAGTGGAAAACTTTCTTTTCCTTACAGGCTTGGCCTGTAGTTTGGAGGGGAGAGAGAATGGATTAAATTCTGATTCAGGATAGTGTTAGAGGTCCTGTTTGTTCTATCTGAGCACTGTTGATAATTAACATTAACACTGATATTTTATTTCCGCTTGTCTGACTCCAATGTCCATCTCTCAGGTGGTTCCATCTTAGGCCATGACAACATTAATCTTTCTCTTTGACCTTCTAACATCAACAAATCATAATATCCCATCTCTCCATGACTCAATAAAGCAAAGCACAAATGCCCTGTGTTCTGGCAAGAAAGTACGTTTGTGCTGTTTTTGCCTACTGGCCACAAGGAGGCACTGCAGCTTCGTTGTCATCAGAGTCTATGGGGAGGGGTTGAGATTTCTCCCTGGAAAATTTTTTTTTTTGGGGGGACGGAGTTTCACTCTTGTTACCCAGGCTGGAGTGCAATGGCGCGATCTCGGCTCACCGCAACCTCCGCCTCCTGGGTTCAGGCAATTCTCCTGCCTCAGCCTCCTGAGTAGCTGGGATTACAGGCACGTGCCACCATGCCCAGCTAATTTTTTGTATTTTTAGTAGAGACGGGGTTTCACCGTGTTGACCAGGATGGTCTTGATCTCTTGACCTCGTGATCCACCCGCCTCGGCCTCCCAAAGTGCTGGGATTACAGGCGTGAGCCACCGCGCCCGGCCTCCCTGGAAAATTTTTAAGGGAAACCCTGGGGTTGGACCTAGATTCAGGGGCTGGGCTGCAGCTGTCTGGAGTGAAGCCTGGGAATGAAGGAATTAGAGACCAAGCAATTTGCATCTATTGGTGTGGAGATGGGTTTTGCTTTAAACTGAGCTCTGAATGGGGCTGAGTGGCAGGTGTGCTTGCTGTGGCTATACCTCTGAGCTCCCTTACCATGTGGATGTATGAGGAACTGGGGTGGTACAGTGCCAGTGTTCTGGGTTGGGAAAGCAGGGAAGCAGTTTTCATGTCACAGGAGCCTTGGAGAGCCTGGCCCCAAACCCCCAAACTGGCTCAGGGCAGCCCTACCTGCTCTGTTAAGAGTAGAGGGAAGAGTGGGGAGAAACAGAGCACTACCCTGGACCACCGGAGGGACGCTGTCCCCCAGTGAGGGGACAATCACAATTACAACACCAGCAGCATATACACTTATTAGGCAGGCACTAGGGTGGAGTAGAACAGAATTTTCTCCACCAAGAAGTTTTGCTCTCAGCAGGAACCTGCCCTAGTCTATTCATAGTTTACCTCTGCTACTCACTTCAGACTCCTGTGTGTCCCCTGGAAGAAGGTGGGGTCTGGGCAGAGATAGGGTCTTTTCTTTTTTTCTTTTGGCTTGAATTAAAGTTCTTTCCATGTGACTTGTTCATCTTCCTCTACCTATGTTTTGTATCTAGCTTCTGCCTCTTGTATTCATGTATGACTTGGATACTATAAAGTATTTGATTTCTATTGCTACTGTAATGAATTACCACTAATTTCAGAGGCTTAAACAAAATACATTTGCTACCTTACAATACTGGAGGCCAGGAGTCCAAAATGAGTGTAACTGGGCTAAAATCAAGGTGTTGGCAGGGATGCATTCTTTCCCGAGGCTCTCCAGGAGAACTGTTTTTCTCCCCTTTTCAGCTTCTAGAGGCCACCAGCATTCCTTGGCTCACGGCCCCATTCAATCTTCAAAGCCAGCAAGGACTGGCTGAGCCTTTGCTCATGCTGCGTCACTCTGACGCTCACTCTTCATCCTCCCTCTTCTACATTTTAGCATCTTTGTGACTACATTGGGCCCACCTGGAAAATCCAGGACACGCTCCCTGTATTAAGGTCAGCTGACTGGCAACTTTACTTAGTGTGGAACTTTAATTTTTCTTTAACAAGTAATTTAACACATTTTTAGGTTCCAGGGATTAGACCTGGACACGGTTGGAGGGCCTTAGTTCTGCTTACCAAACCTAGGAACTTGGTAACAGGGAGGAAAACAAAATGATCACTGGTAACCAGAATGTTGACCACGATTTTACATCCCACACCTAACAGACACAAAAAGGGATGAAGGCCACAAGGAAACAGACACCTCAGGTCACACAAACTTGGCTGTAAACAACTTTCTCCCTGGGATCAGCAGGTCCCCTGGGGTGCAGGGGACTCAGCGGTATGCCTCTGTGCTAACAGCAAAAATGTGGCCTTAAACTGTTTCTTCTTTGTTAGCAATTAACCTACTTGACCAACCCACAGAGCAGAGGCTTCTCACAGCTCTGTACACTCTACACCCTGAGAGGAAGTCGGTTAGTGAGATGCAAGACACTTTAATAAGGAAAAGTCCAGGTGCTAAGATTAAGAAACATTGAGCTTTGCTGGAGGTAAAAATAAGATGTAAATCAACTCAAGCACCTAATTTTCAAATCTTTGTGAAAAGCACAATCTTCTTTCCGTTTTATTGTATGAATAAAGAATGCGAGAGATTCTGTGTTCTGGGCTTCGCAAACTCAGTAGAGTTCAAGAATAAATAAACTCAGGTCTTTCACTGCAAAGAAGAGCTTTGAAATCTAATGAGCTTTCAGGATATCCGTTCAGCTTTTTTATCTCTAACAATGCAGTTGACATGATTGCCCTTCCTGAGGAGCTCAGAGACCAACTCCTAACTCACTGGTGGATAATCTAAGTGCTTTCAAAGGAGTAAGAGCCCAGAGCCCAGTGAGAGGAATAGCAGAGTTTGCAAAGAATCTGACTTGCTATAAGACAATGAGTTCATATTTAAATAATTGGAGTTTGAGGTGCAGGTGAATATAGTTGGCTGGATCCTAGGTAAGATATACTATAGAGAAGGCTTTATGAATTGATAATATCAAAACAAATCTACAGGGAGCCTCCACAGGTGTGCCTTTATGTCTCAGCTCAATTATAGTTCAGTCCCGCCTGATTCATCTCCCAGAGATGCAGCCTCCGATTAAAGGAGCTTTCAAGTTGGGGGTGGTGGCCCATTCAGTGATGTCACTGACAGATGCATCTTGTGAGGATAAAATGTCACAAAATTCATTTCTTTGCTCATGCTCGCAGAGGCCTTGGTCAGGAATGTTCCACACCTGATCTCACTCTGCCATGGGCTCCTGGACCCTCTGCTGCGTGTCCCTTTGTATCCTGGTATTGAGTGAGTTCGATATTTATTATGGCCATGCTGAATCTTTTATTGATGACTCCTTATATTTTTTTTATTCGGTCCCCCAATTCTGTCTTCTTTTATAGCACAAACAGATGCTGGTGTTATCCAGTCGCCCAGGCACAAAGTAACACAGATGGGACAATCAGTAACTCTGAGATGTGAACCCATTTCAGGCCACAATGATCTTCTCTGGTACAGACAGACCTTGGTGCAGACTCTGGAATTGCTTAGTTACTTCCGCAGCCGGACCCTTGTAGATGACTCAGAGATGCGCCAGGATCGATTCTCAGCAGAGATGCCTAATGCATCATTCTCCACTCTGAGGATCGAGCCCACGGAACCCAGGGATTCGGCTCTGTATCTCTGTGCCAGCACCTTTCCCACAGCGCTGCAGAATCTCCCCCTCCCTGTGCAGAAACCCTGGTGCTTCCTCTTCTTCCCACACCTCCCAGCAGTCCTGGGCAAAGTCTTTCCTGCTCCCCCCTCACTATGATAATTAAGTGGGTTTGGGGCGTGACCAAAACAGAAGACGGTAGAATATTAACATGAAAATCATGTGTAGGGGATAATGTAGAAAATGAGTTTTGGGAATTTCTCACAAATTGTCTAAGGAGTCAGGATTCATAGGCATGTAGATAAACCTTAATTACCCACACTGTAGGTTTCTTTGCCTTTCAGCATTTGCCATTCCCATTAGCAAGCTGAGAGCTCCAGAGAATGGCTGTGTCTTTTGAACTAGTCTGCCCTCTGCATTTTCTTTTCACTCTAAGCTGTGAACAGAAATTTCCCCTACAAGTTTTCTTGATTGTAAAAGAGAGTTCCTCTCTATGACTTTCTCGATCGTGAAAGAAAGTTCTTTTCTATGGCATTCCTTACAATGTTAATTTCAACTTACCATTTATACAGGGATTTTGCATTGCACTTAAGAGTGGGTAATACAGGCAGTTTAATAGGTTAGATGTAAGCTGCCCCTCCTGAATCCATTTGTCTTTATCCTGCTTAGGGAGAGCCAAGTACCAGCTGAAAGGCTGTGTGACAACTCACAGAACACTGACATGGTCTCCTCCACTGCCTGCTTGGAGCTATCCCCATGTATCCACACAGAGTGTCTAAAAGCACACAGGCCTGGCCAGCCTTACTTTAACCTCTTTCCTCCCTGATGCTGTGTCCTGGACAGCCATATCTATCTATATATATTTTTTGGTTTATGCTACACATTTCTACACTGCACTTGAAATTCATTCTGAAGAGTTATAAATTTATTTTCTTCTATAGTAGTACTTGCATGCTGATTACTTCTCAGCCCCCATCAGGGAATCATTGGCAGTTGTTGTAAAGGATTCCTGTATTTCGAGTGCCCAGTACAATCTGGGTTTCCCAAGTTCTTCCATATTGGCAGATTTCACTTGTCATTGTCCTAGTTTTGTTATTTAAAGGTCAAGGTGGCCGGGTGTGGTGGCTCATGCCTGTAATCCCAGCACTTTGGGAGGCTGAGACGGGTGGATCACGAGGTCAGGAGTTCAATGCCAGTCTGGTCAAGATGGTGAAAACCCATCGCTACCAAAAATACAAAATTAGCCAGGCATAGTGGCATATGCCTGTAGTCCCAGCTACTTGGGAGGCTGAAGCAGAGAACTGCTTAAACCCGGGAGACAGAGGTTGCAGTGAGCTAAGATCACGCCACTGCACTCCAGCCGGGGCTGCAGAGGGAGACTGTCTCAGAAAAAAAAAAAAAAAAAGATCAAAGCTTTCAAGATCAGAACAGTACAGAATAAAATTCTATGGGGTTCAGTCACAATGGTGAGAGAGATTGTAAAATTATAATAGTTACAAACCTTCCAGCCTTCCAAGGTTTGTGACCATTATAACAATGTTTGTGACTATTATAATATTACAATCTCTCCCACCATCCTGACTGAACCCCCACAAAATTCAGATTACTTTTTAATGTAGATCGAGAGACCTACTCTGTGTTTATATCTTGTTTTGGTGTCTTTCTTGCTCTTTGGGCCTCTCTCGGCTGCCTCCAGATCATTTTCCTTTCTCCTTCAAAGCCCAGCTCGTTTACACACAGGACATTAGAACACGACCCTTCACTGCTGCTCTTGCTGCTTTCCCTTCAGAACTCTTCTCATTCAGTGCTCCTGTCTGCTACTAATCCTGCCATCATTCTTAATGACTACTCATCACACAGACCATTTCTACACTGATTTGGTTCCGCACTTTCTTGACTTCCCCTTTCGAGGAGTTTTTGAACCTATAATCTTTTTAAGAGTTGCTTTCATGATTATAGTAAATATCTACTGAATAAATGCATGTCTTCCTCAGCTTTGAGATTTCTGAGGATTGCGACTTCGTTGAATATTTTATCCATTAATTTTAACTTTGTATATTAGACAAGGAAGGTATTAAAATCCCATGTTTTAAGTCAATGAATCAATAAAGAGATTTAAAGAGACAAATGCAAAACAAAATTGTTTAGAGCTGCTGTTCTGGGCTGGACTACAGATAGACGGTGTAAGAAGTAGTAAAATCATCTGGTAATTTCAACTTGTGTTCCAATCTTTGGTTGGAACAGCTCCAGGGGAATCGAGGGATCAGAGGTGGAAAGAGAGACGAAGGGGCTAGGAGGTGAGAACTGGCTAGGGTAGCATTCTCTATCTTAAAGTTTTCAAAGATAATATCAAGGTTCTCAATTTATTTTTAATATTTTTTGAAAATGAAAAGAAAATTATGCATGTGACCTAAGCTATACACAATAAGAAAACTGACACATAATGCTGAGATGGAATTATATTAAATTTCTGTGAAACTCACAAACTATTCTCATGTTGATTGGCAGTGCTGTGTGTTACAAAAATAAATTTAAAAATGACTCCTTTAAAAACATCATTTTTAAAAATCAGCATTTTCCAAGAATGGGGGAAAATTAAATTCTATCTTATTTCGGTGGTACAGGAGATAAAGTGTGGGGCTTCCCGTACCCCGCCGCCCCACCCCGACCCAGCCAACCGTCCTTTCCTAGGCCCATGCCTTCTAAATGTGCATCTACTCAGGGAAAGGGAAGTGTAGCTGTGCAGGAAAAGTGGCAGTTCAGGAAATCAGGAGCTCGAGGACTTGATGCAAGGGTCCCAGAAGAGGGCAGGGCACTGGTGATCAGAGGGGCTTAGGGAGCATCTGCTAGGGTAAGCTGTGCATCCAAAGTGGTTCCTTTTGTTTCCTTTAACAGTTAATTTTTTTTATTATTATTATTACTTTAGTTGTCCTCCATATCTACCTCTTTAGTATGACTGGCTACTTCTCTTTGCAACTCTTCATGCACTACCCTGGATCTCACCCTAGGAAGAAACAAAGCCCCAAACTCTCACTAGCTGCGCTCATGAAACAACTCTTCCTGGCAGGCTGTGATCTCACCAAGCGCGATCAAGTTGATCAAGTTATAAACTGACTCCATCACTAGTCTAAAGGGCCATGGCAAGAACAGCTGCTGGAGAAACCCTAATTACAGTGTGAGGAGAGACGTAAGAATTTTAAAGCAGTTTTAAAACTAGTCCTTCTCAAGAACCAAACATATAACGGGTCACTGGGACTTGTCTCTGATGTGGGTTAAAGAGGAAAGAACAGACAGAAACAAGGTTCTGATGCTGCTCTGTTCCTACAACTCTCCCCAGAAGTCACTGCACCTGCTGCAATTTCCCTTACCTTTCTGTGACACAGCCTTTCTTTGTCGGGTCCTCCTCCCTGTGACTTAAACCTCTCTCCCTGCCCTCCCCTATCTCCCTTCTTCCAGAAAGTTCCTCTGCCATTCCCAGAGACTTGCAGAACACTGGGGTTTGAAATACATTAAGCACATAATTTTTTAAATTAATAATTTCTGTTAAGTGATGAAGGTTACATACATGAATTATGCACAGAAAAATCACAGTAAACTTCTGAGATAATGTTAGACAGCATATGTAACAATCAGGTTAGCTTTGATGAAGGAATTTGGGACTCAGGGTGAGAAGATAAGATAAGTTAGCAGACAAGAAAATGAGATGATTTATTCTGTAGTAGTTGGGAACTTGTTAAAAACAAATGGAGAAAGAAATTGTTGAAAACAATAAATCCCTTAAGAAGTCTGGGAATCCTGTCGCTTACATGGAATAGAAACTGAAAGAGATTAGGCAGAGCGATTCAGAATAAATGAGTATCTCAGACTAAGACTTTTGGTTTGTATCTCTTCACAGGCTGAAATTTTTAATCGACTTTTAAAAGCAACACTAAATAATACTGTGATAGCCAATATTTTTATTTTTAAAGATCTTTGATTTCCACGTGAGAGTCACTTGCCATAAAAGATAAATGATGAGAATGATTTGTATTAAAATTTATTTGGAAAAAAGGCTTGCATTTTTCTCATTAAAGCAATTTTTCACAGATAAATTGATCTTTAGCCCACGTGAGAGTGCATTTCTTGGCAGTGAGAGAACTAATAACTTGATTATGGAATGTACCAATAAGAAGTAAAGTTAATCCTTCCCAGCTTATATATGAGATATATATATGTGTGTGTGTGTGTGTGTGTGTGTGTGTGTGTGTGTGTGTGTGTGTATAATTACATACACGACTAAGCTTTTTAAGTCTTAAGCTTCATAACACTCTGAACTAAGACAGTTTTTCTTCTTCACTTCGTCACTGAGATAGCGAACATCCTGCTTTTTCCAACCCACCCCACCTACACCTATGTTTCCCTGTTCTGACTTCAATATGTCTTTTCCGTTGTCCCATTCCAGATATGCTCAGGAATCATATGCAGGGTCTTCTCCAAACTGTCCTCTCAATGGCCTACAGAACAATAAAGATTTTTGAGGGCAGGACTGTGGAGGAACTAAGACAGGGTCTGTGGTGCACCCTCTAGAAGAACTGGCAATACCTCTGAAGCCAACACCCTTAAGACCTCAGAGTAAAGTATCTATTTTCTGAAAAGTCATCTACATTTGACCTCTTTTCTTTTCTGCTTGCACTTTAAATTAGTATATAAACTGGGCTGTGATTTTGGGATATTGGGTGGTGGGTGGGGAGGCACAGATTGTCTCCAGAACCTGCTATAGCAAAGTTTCATTTGAAAACAAAAATGATCATCGAGAACAAGAAGATACAGCATGTTAAATCTTCAAAGATGTGGGAAATCTGTGGTTTTTAAATCCCTCTGCATCTAGAGTTTACCTTAATGAGCCTCACAGAGTTTCAGATGTATTGAAGGAGAAGGAAAGTGAGTGCACTCCTACAGCTGGGGCAGTGCCGAGGCTAGGACACCTTGAGCTTTATCTTAGCTTTCCTGTGAAGAAAGACTTTGGCCATTGATTTTAACTTTCCACTCTTCAGTGATGTGATAAGTTAGGAACACATAATCTAACATAAAAAATGCATGATCAAATTTGAATTATAGCCAAATCTTACAAAAAATGTATATAAAATATTTAATTTTGCAAAAAAAAGTGTTGCAGTGATCTCCAATCTTGTTCACCTTTTTCATCTTCAATAGAAATAGATGATAAGTAAATTTATTTTAACTTTGTTGAGTAAATGACAATAATATTTCACATTCTCTCAATACAATAGTTGAATTCTATGTGTACCTTCTTAGCAGCTAGTTTCAAAAGAAACTTCATTAACACCAAGCAAGTCCATTATTGAACAGATACAACACAGGACAAAATAATTTTATTTAGATACTATGTTTAGGCATAGAAGGAAGGTGAAGTTGACCAATAGGAGATGGGACATGA